CTCTGGTAATCCCTGACTTCAACAAATCTTTGGTCTTAATTCAAAGATTTTAACTGTCAGCTGATTTCCATTTCCCTTGAACCTTTAGACTTTGTTGGATGTATGTCTCCAGCTGTTGCCTTTCACTCTTTCAGCTCAGCCCTGGATTCCCTCCAGGATAACTTCTTGACTCCCACAGAAACTGTTCTTACCAGACTTTTTATTTTTACTTTTGTCTGACTGAGATCTCTTCAATGTCATCATCTTGTCTTTTCTTTTACGATTTCAGCATTCCCCATTCACTTCCCACCTTTGACCATCTTCCCTTTGTAGATGTGGGGAGTTGCATGGTTTTTCTTCTTCGGTTACCCCCATCCTATTTTTTTCAATTTTTTTTCTCTCATTCATTTGTTCTTTTTCAGCCACCATCTTTACACTAACTCACAAGTCTATCTTTCCACTATAGACAGTCTCCTCACATTTCAGTTTCTCTGGCATCTCCTTTTGAAGGTGCAACTATTAACTTAAACCAAAAACTCCTCCACACTCTTCTGTTCTTGATTGTTTTGCCATTCTGCCCATTTTGTGTGCCCTTAATATGAGAGTCCTTAGGTATGTGAGCTAAAAAACAAGAAATAGTCAATATGAATGGTTTTCCTAAGATGCTCCCCAATGCATATATTTGTTACAAAGTTAATATTCTGAAGAATGAACTCTGAACTAGGACCATTATTTATTGTGAACCTAAACGTGGGAATTTGCAGAAAACTGCATGCTGTTGTACATGGGTTTAGCTGAATGTATGAGGCTTAAGTACTTCTCCACTCAGAATCCCCCTTGAGAGTTGTAAGTAGGAACCTTTTCTGGGGAAAGTACCATGAAGTTCTGTAGAACTTAAGCTTTCAGTACAAATTGAATCTCTTAGTATGAGTCGAGTAAGGAAGAGAAGAAGTTTCCAGATATGACAAACAAATTAACAGTGTTGCTTTTCAAAGTGTATGCGTGTGTGTGTGTGTATAGATATACATATACATGCATCTCCACTATTGCTGTTCCAGTCTGGATAAGATATGAGAGAGAACTATGGCTGTGGATTTCACAAGAATGGCAATTTAATTTTTCATGCTGATAGTGGGGGAAAAACCTATAAACAGCAGCAGGAACAGGCACTGAAACTAATGACAGAGAGGGTTGCTTAAACTTGAGAGGTTTATAATAGTGAAGACACTTGCCCTTCAGAGCATCAGGCTAGCTGAAAAATTGTGTGGAGGCACTGTGATGGAAGGAACACTGCAACTGGTCAAGAAACAAAGAGAAATTGCTAGGATGGGGATAGAGATCTGACAAGGAGCTGGGGAAAAATGGGTGTTTAGATTAGATGAAGACCCCATGAGACTAAGGATATGGTCAAGCATGTGGGTTTTTTTAGTTCCTTTAAAAGGAGAGGGAGAGATACAGCTTGGGAGTTCACAGCAACTGTTAGAATATATGCCTTTTTATATTTGCAGATCCTTTAGCAATGCAAGTTAGCTAACTAATCCTAACTCTGACCCTGACTAGAGCAGTGTTAAAATTGAAGCAATATTGCTACCTTTCTATCCCTGTAGAATCATACAGACGTAACAGCTGCATTGTTACAGTTTGTAAGAATATCCTTTAATAGTAATTGTCTAGCTATACCCTCAGATCAAGAGACAACAGGGAAGGATCAAATGAAGAGCCAGCAGTGAGGGAATGAGGATAGGCTGGGCAAGAAGTTGGTTTGGGCTGGAGGAGAGTGGGACTGAAGTGATAGACATAAGGAGCAGAGGCTGGTACTGAGTAGGCAAGAAGGGACACCTGATTAGGAGTTAGAAGTGAGGAGGGAAAGGAGTCCAGCTTAGAAGGAATGGAGAGAAGATGCATCATTGAAGCAGCCCTTCAGTTCTAGGCTGTAAACCCAGAGGTCCACAGAGTCTGACCATTTTTTGGTTATCAGCAGACCTTGAAACTAGGGGTGTACCAATATATCGGTTGCATAGTGGATCGGCACCAATAAAAGGAAAATTAACATTATTGGCAATCGGCTTTTTTTTTGGCCAGAGTAGCCAGTAATGTCACTGATTAAATGCTGCGTGCAGGTGTTCAGCAGCAACATGCATGAGGTCAGGAATGCAGCTGGACAGTTTGGAGAGCAGTGTCTGGCTGGTAAGTCTGTGGGCGGGGGTGGGGGGCAGCTGGAGGCAAGAGAGTGGGGCAGGGGCAAGTGCGGCCCAGCCAGGGTGCAGGGTGGAGCTGCGGGCAGCTTGTCTGGGGGGTGTGGGAAAGAGGGGGGTGGCTTCCTGCCACTGCACAAATCCCCATGGGGGGGCTGGGGGGTGTCCCTGGATTTGTGCGTGGGGCAATGGCGGGCTGCAGGCTCAGGGCCAGGGGCTGCGCTGACCTCTTTCCAGCCAGGGCTGCACTTGGGGCTGTGGCACTAGGATAGCTATGGTGAATTTTTAAGGTTCCTGTATCCTACCTCCTAACCACCCAACCCAGCGCTGCTCACTCGAAGTCCAGCCTAGCCCCCCCTGCTAGGAAGGAACAGGCACAGCCCCTGGCCCCAAGCCTGGGCAGCCTGCCCTCACCCCATGCACAAATCCAGGGGGGGTACATGCCTCCCCTGGGGGTGCACGCAATGGCGGGGAGCTAGCCCTGCTCCCCATGCCCCCTGAATGAGCTGCCTGTGGCTCCGCCCCACTCCTGCTGGATTTGCATTCACCACCCTGCTGAGCAGCCCCTGCTCCACTCCCTCCCTCACCGTGGGCGCCTAAATCTGCCCCCCTCCACGCCCCTTCCCTTCCCCATACCCCTTTCCTCTGACACACTTAGGAGGAGGAGGCTGCTCTTCAAGCTGCTGGGCTGCATATTGGCTGTCGGATCAATATGGGCTTATATGGCTGGTTAATAAATCGGCATTATGCAGTCTTTTAAGGCTGTGAGCCAGATTGATCCAGTTCAGGTCAGAGGTTGGAAAGCAAGCACCCAGCCACTGCTGTTTTTCCCAGCTGTACTTGCAGCTGGCAGGAGAAATCTGCTGCCAAAGCCCCATGTCCACAGGCTGGATCAAATAAATGGCTCCACAGGATGTAGGTTGCCTGAGCCTTTACATATATCATACCATTTAACCCTAGTAATGGGGCAGGATCCCACAAAAATGGCATCCTTGTCTTATACTTAATAAGGTCTGTGGGGCAAGAGATGAGAACTGTGTGCTAGCATGTGGGCGAGTACAAGGAGACAGTATTGGTCAGCCTGATAGGTTGCTGATGTGCTATGACTACTACCCACCTGTTGCCAAGTTTTCTTGTAAGCAAAGTAGATGTGAAGGAGACTGAAGGGAGATAATGTAGCTGTACAAGTGTGCATGTGGTGCTTGTCCCAGCTATGAGGGGAGGCACCAATGTGTGTGTGAACTCTAACAGGAGGGCAAGGAGACAAGAAACAGGAACTGACCTTTCACATTGAAAGAGAAGTGATGAGTGTTGTAGGCAGACCATGAATGACTTTCAAAGTAAAGGCAAAAAACAGTTTATGCTTGATTTAATGGAGAATGTGGAATAAATGGAGGGATGCATATGAGCTGTGACTTGAGCTACTAATAGTAGAGGTGCACTAATACATTGGTCCAATTTTGGTTTGGCACTGATATGAAGAAAATTGAGTGCATTGGAAATTGGCCTGATGGGGCCAATAATTTGGCTGATAAATGCCCGTGCATACGCACAGCTGTGACAGCGCATAGGTGGCCAGGAGCGCAGCATGACAGTGTGGAGAGCTGCATGCAGCTGGTAAGTCCGTTGTGGTGGAAGGGGAGTGGGGAGGGGAGGGAAGGGGTGGGCGGGAGGGAGTAGGGCAGCGCTTACCCCAGCCCCACTCCTCCCTCACCACAGGGGCCTTATGTGCCTCCCCAACACACCTTCCTTCCCTTCTCCCCTTTCACCACAGTGTTAGCTTTGTGGCTAGAGGGGAAAGGCTAGATGCTAGAGTTTTTATAGATGTCATGCCTGAAAGATCTGCATGACTTCAGATCCTGCTGTCCAGAGTTCGAGAGAGTTAGAAGTGATGCCTAGGTCACAGGCTTGCGTAATGGGGTAGTGGAGGTGGTGGGGGTGATGTCCACAATGATTGAGAGGAAGTACTAGTGAAGGATTTGTAGAGGAAGATATAATATTAAAAGCGTTGTTCAGGTAGGTTGGGTTTGAAATAATTTTTTTTGTTCGGCTCTGGCAGCAGTGAACACTGATAGAAGTGGCTGTACCTGGAGCAGTTTGTGGAATGGAGATTGAGAGCACTGGCTGTGGGGTGGGGAGCAA